AATAAAACACAAAACGAACTAAAAACTTACAAAATGACCTAAAACGAGGAAAAATAAAGGGAAAAGAAGAACAAAAATATAACGAAAAATACAACAAAAATATTACAAACAGAATACAAAATATTTTTTCTAGAAATTACTACTTCAATAATATATTATAAATAAAAGTATCATGGCATCAGAGAAGATTCGTCTTCTTCGTTAACGCAATTTGTTAGGACCAACAACTCAAGCCTAATTCTCCATCAAGAACAACATATAATCTGAAATGGGGTTCTATTTTAAAATTTGGCAATAGAATGAGTAGCCCACCAAACTTATATATTGGACTTCGAACCTTTTAATTTCGATGTGGGATTAGGTTTGCACACCCTACAAACCTCCCATTCAAACACAAGACCACATACTTGGACCTCTCCTTGAACGAAATCCATATAATCCGACCATCTTGTACCGCCGTTATCACCCCACGGAACATGCCGCCAGACCGCTCTTTTGCTAGGAAGACTTTTGACGCAATACACACAGATCAACCGGCCCTCCACCGGCTCCACGGAGAACATGCCACGTCATCCACATCACAACTGGACTACCAATCGTACGTGACTCTGAGACCAATTGTTAAGACCAACAACTCAAGCCCAATTATCCATCAAGCCCAAATGAAGTTCCATTCTAAAACCAATTGACAATAGAAGGAGTAGCCCACCAAATTTATATATTGGACTTGAAACCTTTAATTTTTTACGATGTGAGATTGAGTTTGCACACCCTACACAATTGTTGTCTCGTATGGCTTGGTCCAGTCCCTCGAACGATATTAGATCTATACAACTTATGACATTCAACATATACTATGTAATGAACGAATAACCAATAGGTATAATAAATAATCTTCATTATATCTAACTACACTTAATCATGTTAAGAAAAAATATGTTTTGTATAAACTAATTGGAGGTAACAAATTAAGTTATAGAGAAATAAGGCGGTAAAGCATGACTGCTTCCATGAAATGTCATAATATAAATAATAGCCTAAATAATAACCTAAATATTAATCAGGCGTAGGTTAGAGTGAATATTATATGATAATTAACATTGTGTCTGTGTGTATGAAACAGTACTTAGTGGAAGTCTATATATAGGGACATTGAACAAACAAGAACCTCATCAGTTTAGGTAGTTTTAACATACTATTACCTATGGCCACCTTTTTCCCTATTCATATTCTCATCCTCCTATTTTTAGGTTTGTTCTTGTAGTATAATCTTTTTATTATTATTATTATTATTATTATTATTATTATTATAATGTAAAATCAAATATTTCCATTGACTACCACCGGCCTTGATATTATTATTATTATTATTATTATTATTATTATTATTATTTTATATTTTCTATTTTATTTTTCAGAATATATCATTTTTTTTATGTACACTAATTATAAAATAATAAATAATAATTATATACATTAATATACTAATTATACCCAGAAACTCAAATAAAATCATGATATATCTCTTTAATTTACCCACCCCTGTCTCCATTCCATCCAGGTTCACTGATCACCGGCACCCACAGCTTCCGGATAGGAATTAACTACGGCCGTGTGGCTGACAACCTCCCGACCCCATCACGTGTGGCTTCCTTCATCCTCTCCCTCAACATAACTCGTGTCAGAGTCTACGATGCCGACCCGGAAGTCCTCTCGGCATTCGCCAACACAAACGTCGAACTAACAATCGGGCTCGAAGACAAGTACATTGAGAACTTCACCGACCCGGCCCAAGCCCAGAATTGGGTCCAACAGAAAGTGGCCCCCTACACCAACCAAACCAATATCAAGATGATAACAATCGGCAACGAGGTCCTCACAGGTAATGACACCAAGATGATGATCTCCCTTCTGCCCGCGATGCAAAATGTCCAAAATGCCCTCGCGGACCTTGGCCTGAGCCAGAAAATCCACGTGAACACGCCACACTCGTACGGGATCATGGGCGTTTCATTTCCCCCCTCATTGGGCACGTTCAAGCCCGAGCTCGTGGACTACCTCATGGGCATATTGGTCTTCCTCTCCCAAACGGACTCCCCGTTTTTGATCAACGTGAACCCTTACTTTGCATACAGGGATGACCCGGAGCACGTGTCGTTGGCGTACGTGCTTTTTGAGCCCAACCCGGGCCAGACAGATCCTATCACCAACTTGCATTACGACAACATGTTGTACGCACAAATGGACGCTGTTTACTCGGCCCTCAATGCTTTGTATCCACAGATGGACTCGGCCCTCAATGCTTCGGACTCCTATAGCCCATCTTTGAGAGTTGACGAGATCGGATGGTCATGTTGGAGAATTCCAAGGAAATGGAGACCACCACCAAGTGGAATAGAGCAGGCGAGTTTGTTCAATCTAAATGGAACAGACCAGGTGGAGAACGCGAGGGTGTTCAATGGGAATCTGCTGAAACGTGTAGAGGAGAAGCAGGGGACTCCCCTGAGGCCATCGGACCCAATAGATGCTTATATCTTTGCGCTCTTTGACGAGGACCTGAAGCCCGGCCCAGAGAGCGAGAGGCATTTTGGTCTCTTCTATCCCAATATGACGCCTGCCTACGATATCGGGTTGCAAGGTCATGGTGGTCGTGGTCGTGCTGTTCAGCGCGTGGATTACACGGTTTCGGGGATTAATAATAATAGTATTGTGGGTGGGTTGTTTGGGTTTTACATGGCTTTCATCTGTATTCTGCTCCTGCTTATTTAATGTTCCCAGCACACGACATACAATCTGATTGAAGAAGAAGAAAGAAGAATAATGTTAAATGTTTAAGCTGGTTGTGAAAGAAGGAATAAATGGTAGGTTTGATGCCCAATAAAAACTCACTTTATGATAGATATTTTGAAGCTGCGAATTATAAATTAAGCTCTTTAATTGATAGTGTGCTTAGATTAGATGAGACCGTATTTACTTAATCTACCTAGTATGAATCCCGTGCGCACGGGTAAGAGATATTCATTAATATTTATAAAATAAAAATTCTTATTAATTAATATTTATAAATTCAAAAATAGAATCAATATGTAATACAATTTAGCTATATTAATTTATTAAAAATGTTATATGAAATTTAAACTGTGCAAATTTACATAAAACGTGTCTATTTAAAATAAGTACACAAATCGTACGGTGCACATAAATGGTAATAAATTACATTGTATTCCTTTCAGAATAAGTGTCATTTTAATGTTTTTATTCAAAAATTCGATTTGAATACAATATGGTTTTATAAAATAATTATTTTGGTAAAATATATTTAAAAATCTATGAGGATACTGAGTATAATTAAAATTTATATTATTTCATTAATTAAAATAAATTTATTTATGTGTAAACTATACAAATAAAAAAATTAAGTAGTTGAGTAATTTTTTAAACTATAAATAATTGACTATATATATAAGTCCAAATTATTATTGACCCATAAGTTATGAATAATTACTTATTCGCATTTTAAATAGTGAACTCAGATTTGGACTACACAATAGATCCCCTTATATATTTTATATGTATCAATATTTTACTAATCTCGAAATTTTCTAGATTTATTGTTACCTTGTCGTTCATGCTCCAACTCTACACTATAAATTTGCATCTGAATTTCGCTCTTCTATTTCCAATCGTGTTTCAAAGGTTTTCCCTTTTTTCATTTTTTTTTTCTCGAAACGACGGGAATAGCTGAAGTATATAACAAAGATAGAATACAACGGGAGCCCAACTGGCCCCAAACTACAAGTCCAGAAACGGAGAACCACACGGAATAGCTCCCGTCCGCCTTATAGTGTTCTGAGTTTGTCCTCCGTGCACTTACAGTAAGCTGCTGCAACTAAAAACTTACTAGATTTATCAAAGGTCCGAATCCACCCGTCTTTCAAAGTCGGGTTGAAGGTTTTGATCTGTACAATAGTTGTACAGTAAATCCTCAATGAAGGTTTGTCTCAGACGTCCCTCATTCCATCTTCTACCTCCCTCATCTAAAAGGTCACAAATGTGTTTTATTTATTTAAGTTTCGTCTATCGTTCCCAAAAAAAAAAAAAACATTTACAAAACAAAACCGTACAAGTTAAATGAATTCAACAAGTTCAGTTAAAGTTTTATAAAGTGAAAACAAAATAAGTTTGGTCATTTACATAAACCACATTCTTTTATCTAAGAATTCCCACCAAACATATTATTCTTTTTTCATCATATGTAATCCTTATTAACACAGTGTTTTAGTAAGTAAAAGCCGGTTATATCAGCACTGAGAACCTCAAATTCCAAGAACATTGTCATCAGATAATCATCAACTTTAGACAATAATATTAGATACAGAAATACACAAACGGCGAAAATATAATTACTTCAAAAGCTCTCCAGAACAGAATAAGTCAAAATGCCTGAACGAATTTAGGAATATGACGGGAGGTTTCAAACTAATATTTTCAACAACATATGATCAGCCACAAGTAATAAATAGGAAAAAGACCAGGTCACTTCCAGGTAAGCACTATGCTAAATGTAAAAGCTTGTGATATCTGATACCTCCGAAAAAAATGTCATACTCACCGGGCTTCCGCCTCTTGAAAACCCTCCTTTTAGAACCGCCTTTTTTCTTTTTAGGAGGCCCCACTTTTGTGCTATCCTTGATGGTGGTACTAATTCCGTTATTAGAGGACTTCTCTTTCTGCGGGATTCTCTACCTTGTGGCACTCGAATAGGCCGTTTTGTGATATATTCTTGCAGCACGTTTTTTGCATAGGCCCGTTTCTTGCTGAGATGTGCAATACATGTGTAAAAATGTACAGAATGAATATATCACAAGCATAATTTTAAACAAGAATAATAGTGGCGAGAGCAAAATAAGATCTTTTTTGAAGTAAGAGTAACTACCTTCTTCCATTTTTTCCCTTATCGGCAAATTCTAGTAGATACAGTTAAGGTAGTTAAGTGTCCCAACCAGCACGAACACAAACAAAACAAAACACAAAAGTTTACGGGATTCATGTTACCCAAGATACCATATAACAGAGAAAAACAAAGTGTTTCTTCTCAGAACAAACTCTTAAAACTTGTATACTTCACTTGAAGAGATTAAAGGAGATTAATATAAGCTGCGAAAGATGTCAAGGGAACTTGCAGAAACAAAGAGATTACAGCTATTTTCAAATAATTTACAATCAGAAATATTTTGCATGAAAAGACAGTTATACACAAAATGAATATCTACCATTTTCGAAATCATTTCAGATGCTTTTAACGAGTTATGCAGGCTGTTAAAATTCAGCCTTAGCAAGTATGAAATGAAGAATGATTATACCAAATAAAACCGGGCTGAAGTAAAAATTTAATAAGTTCACTTCATGTCATATCCACGTTATTTGAAGTCTTCTAACATTTATCAATATTATTGAGACACACGAAAGCTACAAGAACTATAACAGAACCACCATTGTGAACTTTGAACTCCAACTATTTATAAAATTCAGTCAAAGAAGAACAACTAATATATTTTGAGGGAAAGAATACATATTGACAAGCAGATTACTTCACAAAAATTCAACCTCAAAAGCACCGTACCTAAATGCTGTGAAGAGTTACAACAGAAACTACTAGTTTTTGTATTTAGAAACCAGATAAACAGCAACAAATAAAAACATTTACCACATGCTGGGAGATCCCAAATTTCATATCAGCAGAGTTGGCGAGTTCCACTAGAGCAACTTTAGCCACTGACTGCTCGGCTGCCTTGCGGTTGAAAAAACTTCAGCCACTAGAGCAACTTCAGCCACAGCCTTGATAGTTTCATAAACTGGAGCCGACTTGAAGACGTAACAGTTTGAGACAGCTGCAATGCATCTTTAAGTGTGAGAATCCTGATTACATGGAATTGTCTTTAACTACTTTGAGAGAGCACATTGAAAAAGCCTTCAGAAAATTAGGAGAGACAGAACGCCAAAATGCAAATTTCTAACAAAATTTCCAGAAAATATACCACTAATTAATTTAAAAATTTTGTTTCTCCTACCAACAATTAAAAGGCCACCAAATCACAAATAATTTATTCCACATTTTTTCCTCCGAGTTTTACCCTATCAGCCACTCACATATTCCTTTCGAGAAATGATATCCATTCACTGTTAACTATCACTGTGAAACCACCTTAAATCCCTATATTTTCATCTCATATTCAAATTCAACAACAGCCTCACTATCCAAATGACAAAATACACCCACCAGTAAACCTAAATCCCCAAGCATTACAAACTATGAGTTTGACAACAAAAATTACAGAATAGATTTCTACATGAGCATCGAGATTCATGAACAAGAAAGAAGAATGAGGTGTACTACCTGCAGATTTAGCTTTCTCTTGTGCACTTTGATTGTCGGCCATGATCCACCCCTTCTTTGCAGGAGATTAAAATCCAATGCTATCAAAAGACTCATCCTTGGCCAGGTGGGTTGTAGGATTAACAAGGGTTTTATTGGCCATGTGAACAATTTCAGTTTTTCCAGTAGATATCTGTTTCCCGTGTACTTCACATCTGTAACAAAAACGAAGAAAAATGAAAAATATAGAGACAATCACAAAAAAAACTGCAACTGATAGACTGTAACAGAAAATTATAGACACAATCACAAAAAAAAAAAAAACATAAAACTAGCGCCCAAAACTTTC